AGGTTATATTGTGATATCGTAAAATATTTGTTGAAACGTTCGTTCGTTCTTTCTTCGTTGATTCGTTGAATGACAGGTTTTTTTCGTTCGCCCTTCCGTTCGTGTCTTCCTTCGTTCGTTAGTTCATTCGTTCATATATTCATTCGGTCATTTGTTCACTCGTTAGTTTGTTCATTTGTTCATTCATTCATTTTTCTGTTCATATCTTCATTTTTCCATTTGTTCAATTGTTCATTTGTGCATTCGTTCATTTGTTCATCTGTTCTTCTGTTCATCTGTTCATCTGTTCATCTGTTCATCTGTTCATCTGTTCATCTGTTCATCTGTTCATCTGTTCATCTGTTCATCTGTTCATCTGTTCATCTGTTCATCTGTTCATCTGTTCATCTGTTCATCTGTTCATCTGTTCATCTGTTCATCTGTTCATCTGTTCATCTGTTCATCTGTTCATCTGTTCATCTGTTCATCTGTTCATCTGTTCATCTGTTCATCTGTTCATCTGTTCATCTGTTCATCTGTTCATCTGTTCATCTGTTCATCTGTTCATCTGTTCATCTGTTCATCTGTTCATCTGTTCATCTGTTCATCTGTTCATCTGTTCATCTGTTCATCTGTTCATCTGTTCATCTGGTCATATTCGCATCGGTGCAAATGTCCATTTGTTGATTTGGTCATTTGTCCATTTGTCCATTTGTCCATTTGTCCATTTGTCCATTCGTTCATTCGTTTATTGGTTCATTGGTTAATTGGTTCATTCGTTCATTCGTTCATTCGTTCATTCGTTCATTCGTTCATTCGTTCATTCGTTCATTCGTTCATTCGTTCATTCGTTCATTCGTTCATTCGTTCATCCGTTCGTTCGTTCGTTCGTTCGTTCATTCGTTCATTCGTTCATTCGTTCATTCGTTCATTCGTTCATTCGTTCATTCGTTCATTCGTTCATTCGTTCATTCGTTCATTCGTTCATTCGTTCATTCGTTCATTCGTTCATTCGTTCATTCGTTCATTCGTTCATTCGTTCATTCGTTCATTCGTTCATTCGTTCATTCGTTCATTCGTTCATTCGTTCATTCGTTCAATCGTTCATTCGTTCATTCGTTCATCCGTTCATCCGTTCATCCGTTCATTCGTTCATTCGTTCATTCGTTCATTCGTTCATTCGTTCATTCGTTCATTCGTTTATTCGTTCATTCGTTCATTCGTTCATTCGTTCATTCGTTCATTCGTTCATTCGTTCATTCGTTCATTCGTTCATTCGTTCATTCGTTCATTCGTTCATTCGTTCATTCGTTCATTCGTTCATTCGTTCATTCGTTCATTCGTTCATTCGTTCATTCGTTCATTCGTTCATTCGTTCATTCGTTCATTCGTTCATTCGTTCATTCGTTCATTCGTTCATTCGTTCATTCGTTCATTCGTTCATTCGTTCATTCGTTCATTCGTTCATTCGTTCATTCGTTCATTCGTTCATTCGTTCATTCGTTCATTCGTTCATTCGTTCATTCGTTCATTCGTTCATTCGTTCATTCGTTCATTCGTTCATTCGTTCATTCGTTCATTCGTTCATTCGTTCATTCGTTCATTCGTTCATTCGTTCATTCGTTCATTCGTTCATTCGTTCATTCGTTCATTCGTTCATTCGTTCATTCGTTCATTCGTTCATTCGTTCATTCGTTCATTCGTTCATTCGTTCATTCGTTCATTCGTTCATTCGTTCATTCGTTCATTCGTTCATTCGTTCATTCGTTCATTCGTTCATTCGTTCATTCGTTCATTCGTTCATTCGTTCATTTGTTCATATATTTATTTGGTCATTTGTTCACTCGTAAGGTTGTCCATTTGTTCATTCACTTGTTCCTTATTACGTTGATATGTTAATCATTCCATTTATTGATTCGTTTGATTGGTCATTCGTTAATTTGTTCATTTGTTAATTTGTTAATTTGTTCATTTGTTCATCTGTTCATCTGTTAATTTGTTAATTTGTTAATTTGTTAATTTGTTAATTTGTTCATTTGTTCATTTGTGCATTTGTTCTTTTGTTAATTTGTTCATTTGTTCATTTGTTCATTTGTTCATTTGTTCATTTGTTCATTTGTTCATTTGTTCATTTGTTCATTTGTTCATTTGTGCATTTGTTCATTTGTTCATTTGTTCATTTGTTCATTTGTTCATTTGTTCATTTGTTCATTTGTTCATTTGTTCATTTGTTCATTTGTTCATTTGTTCATTTGTTCATTTGTTCATTTGTTCATTTGTTCATTTGTTCATTTGTTCATTTGTTCATTTGTTCATTTGTTCATTTGTTCATTTGTTCATTTGTTCATTTGTTCATTTGTTCATTTGTTCATTTGTTCACTGGTTCATTTTTTAATTGGTTCATTTGTTCATTTGTTCATTCGTTCATTCGTTCATTTGTTCATTCGTTCATTTGTTCATTTGTTCATTTGTTCATTTGTTCATTTGTTCATTCGTTCATTTGTTCATTTGTTCATTTGTTCATTTGTTCATTTGTTCATTTGTTCATTTGTTCATTTGTTCATTTGTTCATTTGTTCATTTGTTCATTTGTTCATTTGTTCATTTGTTCATTTGTTCATTTGTTCATTTGTTCATTTGTTCATTTGTTCATCTGTTCATTTGTTCATATGTTCATTTGTTCATTTGTTCATCTGTTCATTTGTTCATTTGTTCATTTGTTCATTTGTTCATTTGTTCATTTGTTCATTTGTTCATTTGTTCATTTGTTCATTTGTTCATTTGTTCATTTGCTCATTTGTTCATTTGTTCTTGCGCTCATCTGTTTATTCGCTCACCTGCTCATTCGTTCATTTGTTCATTTGTTCACCTGTTCATTTGTTCACCTGTTCATTTGCTCATTTGCTCATTTGCTCATTTGCTCATTTGCTCATTCGTTCATTTGGCCACTCATCAAAGTTCTGTTTGTTTGTTAGTTATTTCATTCGCTTGTCTGTAGTCTTGATAAAAGGAAACAATGTTGAATTTGTTGGTTTTTCATTTGTTAGATTCGATAGCAGCTCAGAGGATTGGAACAAACGAACGGAAGAATGCCATAACAAACTAACCTTGTTGAACTTGTCCTCATAACAACTGAGAGATCTAGGATGCACAGATTTGCGTCAATTCCCAGCAGGAGCTAGGTAGTATTATTCCGATCGCATAGTCCTACTTCGGAATCAACACCAAAAGATGGCGACAGCATGACTAGATCACCATGTATTATCGTGCGTCTTCGCAATGGGTGATGTATTCCATGCGTCGTATCGTACTGTCTCGCTTAAGCTGACAATTGGGGCAACTTTCATCATCCTAGATCTCTTAGTTATGCGATCCAGTTCAACTAAAAGGACTGATGGTACTTCCACTCGAGTAGTCAGATAGTGTCATCTGTCAGCAGAGTGGTTTACTTGTACTTGGAGCTAACGCTACTAGATGGCGATAGAATGACTAGATCATCAAGGTTGGTAGAACTGATTATAATTTGTATAGGAAGGTTGCCTCGATCGATAGTGCGGCAAGGGGGGAAACGGTCACTCGTGACGTCACAGGCAGTAAGACGACAAGTTGTCAACCTTTAAGCGACATGTCATGAAATGTTTACCAAATAGAGTATACAAACATGATACAAACTTTTTGGTCTGCTCAGCATATTTATATTAATTTATAGTATATAATTATAAGTAAGTACCATTATAAAATATGGATATTTACATATACTTCTGTATAATACCTTCGATCTTCGAAATGAGAAGGCAATTTTGGATGGATCAGTAGTACAGAGAGGAATACCTATCTGAAATTTTGTTCCAGGGGCTATTTACCAGGTCGTGGTACCAGGTATGTGTGTTTTGAGGTATGGAGCATAATTATGGACTAGTGATTACTTATGCATTGATTATGAACCTACTCATCCTATAAATATCCTGAAAATCAGATAATGTGAACAAGAAACTACAGAAAATATAACTGATGATCCAGAAGTAGTAGCAGTGGACCAATATCCGTACACAACAGATCACTTATTTTATCAATATAACTCTGTATTCCGAAAAATTAACAAACTTTCCTAGATACCTATAGAGAATACAAGAGGAAATATTATTTCATTGTTTGATTATATTGTATTCAAAAACAGAGCAATTGATCGAAGTATTTGAGCATAAAAAAATTACAAAATATGTTTCTGAACAAAATTAATGAAAAATAACACTACTATTATAAGTGAACCTATAATAAAGGATAGTTCAAGGAATCTCTCAAATAAACATAGCTCCTCTTCGTTGGGTAACGTACTCTTGCTCGAATATCTCAACTTGAAAACACGTGTGATATCTTCTGATGTCCATTTTATCCGTTCAGCAAGAATCTCAACATTCACAACTGGTCTGGTTCTGATCATTTTTCTAAACTTGAATACTTATGGTGTTTCTCTTGTTGTATTGGGTATTATTGATGGGATTCCTACCTTGAGTTTTCTTCTCTTTGGTGTGTGATTTAGCAATTCTGCTTGTGCCGTTCAAAATCCTCGGCATCGAAATGGGCAGAACATATTCGCCAAGTTTTGGTATTAAATGAATTAAAATTACGTCCACGAAATTGAATCCATTTCTCACGAATAGACTCATCTTATGGAAATTAATGGAAACACAAACTAAATTCACTAGTCTCATTACACTTGTACGAATTTCAACAAGAAGTGACCGAAGTTCAGAATGGTTCAAATATTCGAAAATACTGACAACTGTCAACTCAATACATGCGCCGGCCAATCGCCGGCGTACATATCATACACGAAGTGTATGAGAGTGCTACACTTTTCGTGCAAAAGAAAGGGCCTATTACGTCATGAGTTACTCAAGGTTACTCGCGGGGTGCGATCGAGGCAACCTTCCTCTACAAAATAGTCATCAGTTCTACCAACCTTGCTAGATCATCATGTATTTCATGCTGCGTAAACAGTTCTGCTTTGTTTCTCTCCAGTTAACCGGTTCGCTGGCAGTTCTGGTATACATACACGGAGGAGCTTTCGTGTCTGGTGACACGACCTACGCCCAACTCGGTCCGGACTATTTCCTTGAAGAAGGTCTCGTGTTCGTCTCCTTCAATTACCGCTTGGGCATCTTCGGATTCATCGGTACGGAGGATTTGACCTGCCCCGGGAATGTCGGGCTCAAAGATCAAGTGTTGGCATTGACTTGGGTGCAGAGGAATATCGCCTTCTTTGGTGGGAATCCACAGAACGTCACTATTTTCGGTGAAAGCGCAGGGGCAGCTTCTGTGGCCTATCACGTGCAATCAGATAGTTCAAGAGGTGAGAGGTTATGGAGGAGGTGAGGTGCAAAATCTCATAAGTCGACTTTTCATCATTCTCGACTTCATTACACCAATCCATTAGGCAATATTATTCCTCAACCCCATCAACTGAAAAAACCTTGTGAGTCCAAATCACAATTCATTACCAGTACCGCTATCTGTCGAATCCTCGTTAAACGGGATCTATCCAATGTTCAGTACAGAAACCTCTCAAGCATGACTCACGAATTTTTGACATTTATTGGTTTCTTGTTGTTTTCATTATCACTGCGGAGATTTAGACTTACCGGGTTCAATGTGTTGATATTATTGAGAGATTTTAACAAAACTAGGCAACCACAAAATGTGTAGTAGAGGAAAAGGTAAATGAGGCTTCAGTTCCTCATCATAATCCTCAAGTGTGGTTTTATTTGAAATTACAGTAACAAAGCGAACCAAACAAATTGTCATTGATCGAATTATTCAAATTTGCATAGCTTTGTCGTGTCTACTGTGAAATTTGGCGAAATGGACTTATGGGGTTTTGCACTTAAACCATCGATATGATCAATGTCAGAATTCTATAATTTTCACAGAACTTACTGATGTGACATCGAAGTTGAAGTCAAAGTGTGAATTATTCATTGTAATTTCATCTCCCTATCAAAATCTTATTTTCACTATTCAATCAGTGATCAAACACACCCCTGTTTAGTTTTTTTGTCACTTTTATTCTTATTTACTATTGTATCATCTTTCAAATGAATGATATCGGAATATCAGTTCATGGCAGCTCCAACAATTGTAACCCAAAATCTTCAGCATCAGCCTGAAAGAGAACTGTGGAAATATTAAATGACTGTTTCATGCTAATTTTCCAGTGAATAACAAAACTTGATCGGGGTTCAAAACTGAAATATATCACTACAGAAGATACCAAAGTTCTCAATTATGAAATAATTGTTCCTTATTGTCACAGTGTAAAATATGGCAGTGAATATCACTGATGATATGCGAAGCAATAAAATACACATATATTTGGAAAATAATTTGACTGTTTTGATTCAAAATGTCGGCGTAATTGAACGTGTTTGAATTCGATTCTTCGTTCCACAGAATTTAAAGAAAGGCTGAACTGACCTCAGATTCTGGGCGGTAATAATTTGAATGTTCCTGGTAGGATGAAATATTATCTAATCGAATTTTTTGACCCTACTATCTTGGTTTTCTTACCAAATCTTAGGTATAGTGGGTTGAAATATGAAACGGGACACTGGGATACGTGAGAATTCCATCCCATTCGAAGTTGTTGTAGCTTTCGTACATTTGAATCGATTTAGACGTTCTTTCCTAGGCATGCGAGCTCATTATACTAGCATCTTATGTACCTACGATATTGTTTCTTGTGAAACAGATGGAACATTATGTAACGCCAGCGGAATATTTTCTGCTCATTGTCCCAGAATTTATTCGCCTGTCATTGGCGCTACTGTATAGGGTATAGGACTGTAAATAGCTCTTTTGTTTCGATGTCAGTGATTCTGTTTTAGGTTGAAGTTGTCTTCATCTATTTTTTCCAAACAGTAATCAATTAGTCAACCACAGATATTGATAAAAGAGGAAAATATTTGTGAATGATAATTTGTCATGACTAGATGGAATCGTTTTTCCCAGGGGATTGAAAAAGTGCCGTATGTCACAGATAGATGATTCTTCAGCTAACATGAATTCACCAATAAAATAAGTGCTATTTATGTTGATATCTGGTGCATGTTTGAAATGAAATGTTGACATTTTGATTTCGACTACTTTTGAGGTTATATTATAATATAATTTTGCGTTGGTGAGATAATTGTGTAATGTATATTTACTATATTTCCTCTGATCGGGATGGATAATCACTCAAATGGGCCCTTTCTAGACAAAAACCTTCTTCTTGGTCTTCTAGCAAGAATTTCAGCAAGTTCCAAATTTTGTAAGGCCTCTAGATGATCTATTCCTTCTATGTGTGCCATGTTTTGCAATACATATGTTTTTCCGATTTCAACTAGAGTTCAGTTCCCATCGAAAATGAGAATAACTTCGTATTCCATGAGTGTATCCTATATGGGAAGATGTTGTTCTCAGGGATATTACCATGGGAAGCAGTCCTCTTGGAGTGTGTAGGAATAGTTCTCCATACAATAGTTCAGGAATACATCATCTCAAATTTCCGTTGGGAAATATCGAATTTTTCCCACGGAAACGAATTCCAACGGATTCGAGAATCGGGCTCCTGGTGGTTTACTATTGAGATCAATTTTTGAAGAATTTCCCTCCGAATCCTTCAGAATTGCGATTGCATCTTTTATTAATAGAATAAGAGCCAAGAGCTCTCCTTTAATATTTGAGGAGATTGAATGAAGAAAAACATTGCGTTTATCCATTTCTTCATTCAGCACTATGACAGTCATATTGCAATGAAATCACATAAACATGAATATTTTCAATAGGTCTCTTTAGTGCGGCCATTTTGGACAGTGGCACGTCACTCAGCCCATGGGCTCTCAACAGACGGGCAAGAGAGACGGCATTTGCTGTTGGAGCAGCGTTATCTATCGTGACTTTAGACTCCGAGAATTTGATCAATGGCTTGAGAAAAATCAACGCTACTATCTTGCAGTCGAAGGCTTCTGAGGTTTCAACATTGGTGAGAATTTGGAATGCTTACTTATCTCAGAGTAACTCATTACCTTATTGCTGTCTATTTTATTTATCCGAACTCAGCGAGTTATTGCTTTTGGGTGTATGATAAATTGACATTCATCATACAGAGCGTGGAAAAAAATTCTGAACTGAGACTCTATCACGAATCTGCGATTAGAGGTCTATAAAAATCACAAGTTTCCATCGTTCAAGTTTGGACCCCCTGATTGGGTATGAAAGAGTTGAAAAGGAATATTCTCAGATGAATTATGGACATACAAAAGTGGATATATATTTATATGAAGCAATACATTGAGAATTCGCATACTCTATGTGATGAGAATATCTACTCGTTTTCAGTTTATACAACAGAAAACAACTACTCTCCTGGCTATATGCCACGACGAACATTGAATTATATCTATTGAACACACGATAAGAGTTTGAAAATGAAATATAAAAACTTCTGATATTGAGAATTTGCATTCTTCTTCAGACAAAAATATGTATATGCACACATCATTCTGAATATTCAACAGAAAACAACAACTTTCCTGGCTATTTGCCACGTCGAACATTGAATTATATCTGATGAACATTCAATAGGAGAACATGAAAGAGAAAAAATGAAATCCTCCGAAATTGAGAATTTACTTTCTCTTCAAATCGGAGGAATAATATGATGTACCTATAATGATATAGAAATATAACTTACCAATATATTCAGCATTTCTGAATCCTCATAAGTTACCATGATGTCCACTAATTCTTACAGCCATTCGAAATGGTTTCATTGCAATAACGTCATATAACCTGTGTTTGAGAGATAATATTTCCCATATCACTGATATGAATGATTATTTTTGGAGGTTTTCAAGCTCATCAAGATCAGAGTTTATGCCAGTATACTTCTCCTATACATTCCAATCTTCATTTCAATGCTGAATATATTGGTGAGTTATATTTCTATATCATTATACATCATATTATTCATCCGATTTGAAGAAGAATGTCAATTCTTAATTTCGGAGGATTTCATTTTCTATTTCTCATGTTCTCCTTTTGAATGTTCATCAGATATAATTCAATGTTCGACGTGGCAAATAGCCAGGAAAGTAGTTGTTTTCTGTTGAATATTCAGAGTGATGTGTGCATATACATATTTTATTTGTCTGAAGGAGAATGCAAATTCTCAATTTCAGAAGTTTTTATATTTTATTTCCAAACTCTTATCGTGTGTGTTCAATAGATATAATTCAATGTTTGTCGTGACATATAGCCAGGAAAGTAGTTGTTTTCTATTGAATAAACTGGAAAAGAGTAGATATTCTCATCACATAGAGAATGCGAATTCTCAATGTATTGCTTCATATAAATATATATCCATTTTTGTATGTCAATAATTTATCTGAGAATATTCCTTTCCAACACTCAGCGAGTTATCTCGGGAAAACAATGTTTCAATGTTTTGATATCGAATACAAGATAACCATTATCAATTCATATATTACTATTCGGAAAATACTCTCAAATTTAGCTTTTGTGGTATTTAGTATATGAGAAGCGAATTTGTGTTGAAGAATAGGGATCTCCTATCCCTTTCCAAAAGAGATGAAAGTAGGGAAACGAGTTGACTATCAATGGATAGATCCGCTGGAATCGTTGAATACATGTTTTCTAATTTTTTTATACAATTAGTGTTTCCCGAGATACTCCACTATTTGGAGACTCTTCATATGTTTTCTTCTTGTATTTGTTTCAGTTATATATGAGGTCTCCAACTGTGTTTCGATGTTTATAGACACCTGTGACCATAATATCATTCAAACTCTCTCTTTAGGTGGAGGGCTGTTGTTTTTTGAATGTTATGAGTATTTGATATTTAATCCATTGTTTTCCTACTCTTCTTACTCCTCTGAAGACCCATATGACACTAAAAAACGAATAGTTATTGGAAAGAACGAATAATTATTAAATATTCTCATTATTGCCAGTGATCTGTTGCATCAAAAATTTTTTTTATATTCCCACTCTTTCCCTATTCTCCAGTAATTCCAATAGAATTTTATAATGATTTCAATCCAACTCTTTTTAAAGACAAATTTCTACGATTCCTTCATATCTGAGAGTCTCACAAGTTTATTTTCCACTATGGATCTATGAGACCCAGTGCCCTATAGGGGTAGGTATCAGTTTCCACAAAGCTACATGAGAATAATTCTCAGAATAGAGTTTCTCTGTTGCGTCTTCTTCAAATGCCCACTTTCCCTAACATATTTTTTCTTTGTTCACCAAGATAATGCTTCAAAACGCACTGGCTGGTCTTCAATTTGGCCCAGTCAGAGAACCTGTGCATGATGGAGCATTCTTCACAGGCGAATCTGAAGATTTGTTGTCGAGAGGACAATTCAATCAAGTACCATGTTTGATGGGTGTAAACTCTAACGAAGCTGCTATTGTGCACGAAGTAACAGGTATGATAAATTATAAGAAATGAAAATCATCCATATCTCAAAGTAGTCCGAAGTTATTCCGGAATAAAAATCAAGCAGGATTAATCATGAGGATGAATAATAAACTAAGCGACAGCCATCTTGACCTAACGAGCCGTGCTGGGGAGACTTGGCAACAGTGTAAACAAGTCCTGAAGTTTCGTTGTTGGGCAGATTGAGTTGAATCTGTTATGTTTTCAATGGTGAATCAATATGCTATATATGTGAAATATGTTTTATATGTTTCCATATTCCTGGAAGTGGAAAAGGAACATTCCCCATCAGTACACCTTCATTCTGACGTTCTTAAAGTTGACTTGGAAGTCTCATAGAATCTTGTGCCCGCGTCGTAAGTTAATGAAGGTCGAAGGTCACAAAATTTGGGTGTTTAGGTTTCAATAGCTCCAATGATATTAACACATATCACAACATTATAGAACATGAGATTTGCGACAAATTTTATCCCATGGATTTTTTTATGCGCTCAACCGTTTTCGATATGGATACTTACTATACTGTGATTCAAGATCATCTGTGAATCTTAGTGAATGGTATGCCCTCTATAAGGTTATTGAATAATTCAAATTTTCCATCAATTAATGTACAGTATTCAATTATGTATTTTTGGTTATGCAAAGTCTGCTAATTCCAGAAGCACAAAATATTTATTTTCAAATATACATTATTCTGTTGCTTGAACTTTGCTAGACTTTCGAAAACATGAAAATCCATGCTCTCAACTACATGATGTAATGAAAAATGCATTTTTAGTTGTGCAGAGTGAGATCAGGAGAATTCATTCAAAATATCAATCAATCAATCAATCAATCAATCAATCAATCAAAATATACTTCATTGACGAAAAATAAATCTCATCGACATAGCGATAACATAAATACACATATAAGCACGGTATAGTAACTTCACAGTTACCAACATGTTTCAGTTCTAATTTATACATATACCTATTTACTACTAACCTATTTACTATGAATGAAACACTGAAATTAAGACGGACAGGATTGAACATGAATATGTAATATTGTTAATATGGAGTATATGAATAAATTAATAGAATTCAATTTCAAGAACCATTCCAATCTTTGATGAAAAAATTCTTGAACGTTATAAAGTGCCTTCTCAAGAAGAACTTGCTTTACAGAATTTCTATAATGATTTTGGGAAGAAATGTTCTTAGATTGACCGGAAGACGGTTATACAATTTGGCAGCAAAATAGAGGACTGAATTTATAATCAGATTTGTTGATGAGATAGACAGTCTCAAGTTGTTATTCTGGCGAGTGTGACTGATAACAATCTAATATGATGATTATTTTTATGGACTAGACACACAGTTTCAAGAGTTAGGATTTAAGCTCTCTAAATAATTTATAACACGAAACCCTAGGTTCAACCTTACACAAGTATGCTCGCTTTTGAAGAATGAAAATTGCATTGAAGTTATGTTGGCTACAATTGCCTCAGGAAGGTATTGCATATCTGATATGCGACTCAATTAAAGCGTGGTACACCACTTCCATTGTCGCCTCACCCAATTCATCGGAGACGATTCGCAAGACCATCCCGATGCAAATTTTTTACCGAAAAAATCAACATGAATCTGAAAGTTCAAGTCATTATCTAGGTGGATTTCAAGTAGTTTATTTGAAACTTTTTGTGAAATGATCATATCGCTATATAGATCACAATTGGGAGATATGCCGTTGGTTTTGTCTATATTGAATGAAAGAAGATTCAAGTTGCAACACTCTTTTACACTAGAGATATCTTTGGCAATTTTATCGTGGAGATTGTTTTGGTCGGGCTCATGCTATAGAATGATAGTATTGTCAGGAAAAATAGTGAATTTACCTTCAATTCCAAGTTTCTCGATGTCATTGGAATTTAGTGGGAACATGATTGGTCCGAGTACAGAGCCCTGGCGTACACCATGTTTAACAAAATCTGTATCTGAGATTAAATCAGTTCCAACAAACTGACTTGAACCAACTTAGGCTTAGATCTCTTAACCCATACTTTCGAAGCAATCAAAAGCTTCAGATTAGTCATAAAATATTGCCGCGCAAACCTCTTTCCAGTTCAATTTGCTATAGACATCCTTCAGAAAAGAGGAGACAGCATCACCTGTACATTTGTTTGGTTGAAAGCCAAGTTCATTTGGATTCAGAATATTGCGTTCAATGATGAAATTCATCATCCTGGTCTTGACTAATTTTTCTACATTTTTTTCGATAGCCGGGATGAGAGAGATAGGACGAGAATTGGCCGGATCAGATCTATCGTCACCTTTATGGAGGGGTATCACAATACTCATTTTGAGGAAGTTTGGAAGAACTCCTCTCGTAACCGAATCGTTTATCAGCTGGACTAGCACTTCTAGGGTGCGAATAGGCATGCTTTCAAGGATCCTAATTATTGTAATATTATCAATACCATAAAAAGTTTTATTTTCCATTTGATCAAATGTGTTTATCAACTTATTCGTATCATAAATGTCATCTGACAGCGCTTATAATTTCCCATTCAGGAAACTAAGAGGAACAATGATTCGATTGGGTCAGTGACACCATATATATTAAAAGAGGATATGAAGTATTGAAATAATGTAAACTTTTCAGGAACGAATCTGCTACCGTTTTCAACATATAAATTGAAATAGCTATTGATGGATCGAACTCCATGCATGGTATTATTCATTGAGATTCACAGTTCACCCTTTATTACAGTATGTATGGCTGAGCGCTGCGCTCTCTCCAGCCTCGAAAACGATTGATCGCATGAAAAAATTTATGGGACAAAGTTCGTCGGAAATTTCATGCTCTACAATTTGTACAGGGCTAGTTTCATTAATCTGAACCCCTCTTGATCTTTTCTGTTTTCCACCCATCAAAAATAAATTTGATGATGATTTTATACGATAATTTTTCATATAGGTTCCAATCATAGTAACAGCTATAGCATTCAGCTATCCATGTTGGAGCCACAGTAAAAGTGTAATGTATGTCTCGGACGGTATGCTCTTTTCCACTCGTATGATTCGAGAACACCATACTCGTGGGAAATGACTATCATTTCGTGCTCGTTAAACTATAAATACTAATCTATTGCGTATGTCCTATATCCTACGTAAATGAGAGTATTCTCAAGAATTCATATTCTCCAAGAGTTGAAAAACGTTTCGATATGGTAAAGTGGGGTGATAGTGTAGCAAAATTCGGAAAGTTCATATACAAGGTGTTACAAACTCGTGACTAAGCATTAGGATCTCGGTAACAGATACAGAGTGGGGTGAATCAGGCTGAAAATGCACCATGTCACGCTCAACATTATGCTGCTTTGAAAGTGGAAACATTCCGATTATTTCCGAAGATATTCGACAAAAACTGAAAAATATGCAAAATCTTCATTATTTATTACTCAGCTTATTAAAAGAGGTATTGCAAAATGAATGTCACTTCGTCATCACCACTTTTTCTCGTCTACGAAATGGAATTGTTGAATCAGACGTTTCTTCTTCGAGCGGCCATAATCAACTTCATTCTTTCAAACACGGAACTATAGGTGCGTTTTGTTGTGCCATTCCAGAACTAATGGAATGACCTTGCCCAAGAAAACGGTCTGCATGGATAGATGGAAGATAGACATTCGACAAGACAATTTGAGTCATTTGACACATTTCATTCCGTTTTTGAAATTTCATCTCATTTTTCAATTCGAAGCCGTTTTTTAATGATCTTTCCCAAAAGGCATAAATATAATATATAATTATCGTAAAATGAAAGTTCTGTAACATGGATCAACAATTAATATTGGCTAATCTGATAGCAATGGTAGCAAACCATGGTGAAATAATTATGATGGGATTTATGGAAGACATCAATGCCTTGGATCTGGATGGAGGAATTCTGGAGCAAATCATTACTATGTAGTCTGCGCTACTTTCGATATTAATTATACATCTAATCATGGTTGATATTTCAGGATGGTTAATCGGAAGATACCGAAGAGTAGAAATTATTATGAAGAAGTAATTCCTTCATTCCATTTGGATACTTTCAGGTCACATTTCCGTATGTGTCGTTCAACATTTGAAGTTGTATTAGGACACCTCTCCCAATATCCAGAATTCATAAAGCGAGATGAGAATATTTTTGGAGGTCAAACCCAATTATGTGTGGAAAAAACCTTACTTATAACATTATGGACACTAGGAACACCTGAAAGTTACCGCTCAATAGGGGATAGATTTGGAGTAGCCAAAAGCACTGTGCATAATTCGGTACATCTTGTTGTTAGTGCAATCATAAAATACTTGTGCAAATTTATCATAAAGTGGCCTACCATTCAAGAGCGGCACATGATATCA